ACATTGTATTTATTAGTAGAGAACACATGCGAGAATTCATATAGAATTCGGTGGAGTTCGTGTGGACAATGTTCTAACTGAGGTGTCGCATTAGAAGGTATAGAAATCTCAATATCATGGGTAGGAGATATAGTGGGTGAAACAATAGTGGGGGAACATATAATTGGGGTAGGGGTCCGCCACGTGTAAACAGGATTGGTTCGAGGGGAAGGTGGTAAAAATAGCCGTTTCCCTCGTTGAGTGGGACATAAATCCTGTTTGCACTTGGTGAACTTATAGACATTCGTTGGGAGAGCATCATTATCTTGATAAATTTGGAGATTATTAAAATCTATAATTAATTTAAATATTTTAAGGGTATTAATAGATAAAATACCAAAAGGTAGTGAAGCTTCTATTATAAAAAAATTTAGTTTTTGGGTGAGGTTACCTATTTTAAGTTTTAAAAATATATATCCAAGGGTATTTACATTGTGGGCTATTGCGTTTATAGTTAAACTGTACTGATGGATAATAATTTTATATGGTAATCTATTTTCTATGGTTCTTAAAATATCTAAGTTAAGTATGTTAATAGATGCTCCCGTGTCTATTAAAAAGGGCAAATTTACATTGGGTGACAGTTCAGTCCATATTACGAGCTGTTCAACGAAAAAAGGTTTCAGGTTTTCCTACCGTTGAGTTGCTCGCGGGGCTTGTAGAGTCATCATGGACTTGGGGAACAGGGCTCCGAGATTGGACCTTGGGCCGGGTACCAGATTTTGGTACAGTGGCTGTGCGTGGTCTGGCGCTGTAGACTTGGCATGTTCGGTCCTGTTGGAACCGTTGTTCACACTGGGAGTGCCAGTGCATAGCATTGTAATACTTGCAAGGCGAGGGTGGGGGTGCAACTTGGTACGTTACACGTGATGACCGCTGGTTGTTGTGCCGCGGTGGTGGGTTGTGGTAGGTTGGATGTGGGGCCTTGTCTACTTGGCGCTGGTACACTGCACTGGTGGCACACTGGGTTCTTCTTATTCTCGACACTAGGTCGAACCATTCTTTAATGGTCTTTGGCTGCACCGTGGCGATTAATCGCTGATCTGCGACGGGTAGTCCTTCGGTTAGAGAATCTATTAATATGTCGGCGGGTAGTTTTAATTTCATGCCCATTACCGTTTTGTTTTGGTAGTAGTCTTCTAGGGGCATTTGGGGTGTCAATTTGATGGCTAGGAAGCGTGAAAACGACGCTTCTGTTGCTGTTGGGAATAAATCTATCAAGGTTTGGCGGACATCAATATAAAATAACCTATCTAACCGTAGGTTTCGGAAATATTGTAGGGGCTTACCTTGCAGGTAGCAGGGTAACTTGTGTAGGCGGTCCGTGTAGGTCAGCTTAGCTCGGTCTGCTTGGGCATCGAAGTTGTCGAAAAAGCTCTGGGCTTCAAAGGTACCATCGTATGGACTCACATCTATCTCCCTCGGAGATCGGGCGACCAGAAGCTTATTCAGGGCATCGGCGATCTGTGTCAGCGGGTCTGTGGAGGTCCCTTGGGGCGGCGACGTTTCCTCCTCTTCAAATGTCGTTTCTTGTTGGGGAACAGATAGCCCGGTCGCATCGTTGGACTGTTCGGTTTGCTCTTCCATCTTTGCACTTTCTCGCTTCTATCTGGACTATCTAGCTTTCTTCGTTTGGTATCCTTCGTTTTGGTTATCCTATCGGCTTAAATGTGATGATGAGTTGCTGTCGACTTATCTGTGATGAGATCCTGTCGACTCATGTAATGAAGGTGAGAATTCCAGTAGCTTTTGTAGAGATCCTGTCGACTACTGAAATAATGTTGAAGTCCTGGTAGCTCTTGTTGTACTGTGTGGACCATGAGAAACAGTCAGGATGTAGAGTTTTCCAGTACCTCTCTGCACCTTGGAAGACCTTTAAAAGTTCTCACAAAATACAGGCAGTCGTGGTCGAGGCAGAGTGGAAAGCTGGGGATATCCACACAAAGAACGAAGACACAGTTGCACTAAGAAAGTTCCGTAAACAGATAAAAGTTGAGCCAGGAGCGAAAGATGGAGACATAGAAGTTTCTTACTCGTCTACATGATAGTTGAGATCGACATAAGGTACGACCGACGCGGCTTGCGCTAAGGGTGAACTAAACTAAACTGACTGAACTGTACTGAGCTGTCAAGCCACTGTAAGGTGATGATTTATAGGTTAAAGACGGGGTGACCTTATGTGACATGGGCGTTTCTGAGAAAAGGGGGGCCTTGGCATGTCCAGGTGTGAGAGGGGTCTCTGCATTCCACCACATGTGACAGTGTGGGTGGCCTTGTTTGTGGGAATTGTAAATCTACCTGATTTATGAGTTCCATCTTTAGACTGTTGTTTTGGCAATACTATGCTCGATCTCTGCTTTAGCTCAACTCTTAAATCTATTACAGATTTTATTTATTTATCCACTTTGTACAAATTACATTACATAGGGTGATGTAAAGACACAGATTAATCATGCGCATAATTATTTATAGATGTTTCTATATACAACATGGCAATCTTGTTATAAGTTATCTACACCATATGAGGTTGTTGTTTTAAATTACCATATATATATATATATACTTTCCGCCCTTTCGTTTCCTCGCTGTCTTATTGACTAAAATCCGTTGTTATTTGTACATCGTTTGAATGGATTGAAAGAATGGTTCTTTGTCTTCCTTTGCACACTAAATTTGAGATAGAGTGTTATAGTAGATTAAACTGGTGAAATCTCTGGGAGGGTGTATCACTGATGAGCCAGGACCTCCAAATATTTTCTCACTGCAATGAGTATAGTAGGATGCATTTCTTATAGAACGAATTGACGAAACAACTGGAGGTTCATCATTGATGAGCCAGGCCCTCCTTATAGCGCCTTATTATAGTAGAGACATTAGAGGAAGTATGCTCTAAGGGCCCCTAATTCTTGTAAAAGTCCTACCCCACCAGCGAATACAAGTAACCAAACGGGGCTCTGGCACATTTGTAAGTGCAAAGTCGAACTGCTTTTCACATGTGTAGATATGTGGTGCACTTACAGTAAAAGCTGTCGCCTACTTCTACCCACCATGATTATCATGGGCTGTACCACGTGTACTAGGGATAAGCAAAAAAAAAAGAAGAAGTTACAGAAACATGGCGGTATATTACTGACAGCTGCTGATGAGTTCAACAGAAGATATAGGAGTCGGAGCGCGTCCAATAGCATACAAGGAGGTATTTATTTATATTTAGAAGCGGCTCAGTGTATTAAGAGCACAAATTACTTCTTCCATAATTTGCTGCTAAACGGCTCTCCCGGCCGCACGCCAACACGCACACTTCCTATTGGACGACGTACGGAGAGAGATGTGTAGCGAGGGGAATTCCACTCCTATAGCTTGGATTCTAAATAGAACTTTGTTTCTCTTTCGTTGTGCAGTTTCTGGTTTCTATTTGCAATGTATTCCTCTATCTTCTATAAAGGTCACTTCTCCTGTCAATAATAGATGTCAAAGCTAGACGCCATCTATTGATGAAACACCTCTTTGGCAGATTGTGAAGATTCTGTTAGATTCCTTGTGGATCTCATGAAATAAAGTCTGCCCTAGACTGACGAGGGCCATTAGCCCGAAACCATGGTCTCTAGGTGGACGCTTCTCAGTTTGCCAAAGCTGGTGTTGTGGCTTTGTCACCGACCTGAGGCTGCTTGTTTGCGGTCAATAGATGGCGTCTAGTTTTAACGTCCATTTTGACGGAAGAGATGACCTTTATAAACCAATATCCCCCCGGTAAAATGTCCTTCTCTATTTTGATCCCTTTTCCGTGTTCCTTCATAGCTCCCCATTCATCAGTCCAATTCTTCTTACCGTTCTCTTTACATTTATTTTATTCATCAAACCTTTCTTCATTAGTACATTTCAACTTGATATATGTTCATTCAATTCTCCTTCTCTCTTCTTATCATTGTCTTTCCATATAACTTCCAGAAGTTTTTTCATCAACAAACAAAACTTATGAAACTGGAAAGCCTTTAACGTCTCCGATCTTCTATTTCTTGAAGGAGACAGAGGCTGTTTACACTTGGTTATCTCGTATGTCTTCAATAAAGGTCACTGTAATATCTTTCAGAGTTGTTGTCTCAATCCCGATATACATGCTAAAAGGTACAACTTCCTTAAGTTTTGTCCATGAGTGTATTTTTCATAGTTATTGTCTGAATCCCGATATACATGCTAAAAGGTACAACTACCTTAAGTTTTGTCCATGAGTGTATCTTTCAGAGTTATTGTCTCAATCCCGATATACATGCTAAAAGGTACAACTTCCTTAAGTTTTGTCCATGAGTGTATCTTTCAGAGTTATTGTCTGAATCCCGATATATATGCTAAAAGGTACAACGTCCTTAATTTTGTCCATGAGTGTATCTTTCAGAGTTATTGTCTCAATCCCGATATACATGTTAAAAGGTACAACTTCCTTATGTTTTGTCCATGAGTGTATCTTTCAGAGTTATTGTCTGAATCCCGATATACATGGTAAAAGGTACAACGTCCTTAAGTTTTGTCCATGAGTGTATCTTTCAGAGTTATTGTCTCAATCCCGATATACATGCTAAAAGGTAGAACTTCCTTAAGTTTTGTCCATGAGTGTATCTTTCAGAGTTATTGTCTCAATCCCGAAATACATGCTAAAAGGTACAACTTCCCTAAGTTTTGTCCATGAGTGTATCTTTCATAGTTATTGTCTGAATCCCGATATACATGCTAAAAGGTACAACGTCCTTAAGTTTTGTCCATGAGTGTATCTTTCAGAGTTATTGTCTGAATCCCGATATACATGCTAAAAGGTACAACGTCCTTATATATTTATTTATTTATATATTATCAGTTATTGTCTGAATCCCGATATACATGCTAAAAGGTACAACGTCCTTAAGTTTTGTCCATGAGTGTATCTTTCAGAGTTATTGTCTGAATCCCGATATACATGCTAAAAGGTACAACGTCCTTAATTTTGTCCATGAGTGTATCTTTCAGAGTTATTGTCTCAATCCCGATATACATGCTAAAAGGTACAACGTCCTTAATTTTGTCCATGAGTGCATCTTTCAGAGTTATTGTCTCAATCCCGATATACATGCTAAAAGGTACAACGTCCTTAATTTTGTCCATGAGTGTATCTTTCAGAGTTATTGTCTCAATCCCGATATACATGCTAAAAGGTACAACGTCCTTAATTTTGTCCATGAGTGTATCTTTCAGAGTTATTGTCTCAATCCCGATATACATGCTAAAAGGTACAACGTCCTTAATTTTGTCCATGAGTGTATCTTTCAGAGTTATTGTCTCAATCCCGATATACATGCTAAAAGGTACAACGTCCTTAATTTTGTCCATGAGTGTATCTTTCAGAGTTATTGTCTCAATCCCGATATACATGCTAAAAGGTACAACGTCCTTAATTTTGTCCATGAGTGTATCTTTCAGAGTTATTGTCTCAATCCCGATATACATGCTAAAAGGTACAACGTCCTTAATTTTGTCCATGAGTGTATCTTTCAGAGTTATTGTCTCAATCCCGATATACATGCTAAAAGGTACAACGTCCTTAATTTTGTCCATGAGTGTATCTTTCAGAGTTATTGTCTCAATCCCGATATACATGCTAAAAGGTACAACGTCCTTAATTTTGTCCATCAGTGTATATATCGCTAGCTGTGGCTACCCGTGTTTTCTGGAAGGTGTGTTCTGACAAATGCTACAGAGAATCTACTAACACTGACACATATTGAAATAAAGAACTTAGTCAGCAAGCCAAAGGCGCTATTATAAAAATAATACAAAAATTACACAGGGATTAAGTGGTTAAATAAGGATAAAAAAGGCATCTCCTAATCATTCAATTGAAGATAGATGATGGCTTGCGCCATCTTTCGGAATAAATATAATTTAATCGCTTATATATATATTTTTTTTTAATCCCAGAATATTGGCTAAAAAACGTTTTTTATATAAATTAAGATTATATTGATTGCTATAGTTGGCGCAGTCCATCAGCAATTTTCATTTGCACAATCAGGAGATGTGTCTTTGTTATGAAATGGTATCAATCAACTTTCTACTCCGTGGCCAGGCCGTGAACTGTAGAAGTAAGGGAGTGGTCCACACGCCACCCTCCCATCAATCCACATTTCCGCCATGTGCTGCTAGATATTCCCAGCGACCTATACAATCAAACATTGCCGTTGGTAATTCTGGGTCGGCATGAACTCTCTTCATTGTTTCCTTACAATATATGACAAGTTATACTCATGGACAAAACTTAAGAAAGTTGCAACTTTTAACATGTATATCGGGATTCAGACAATAACTCTGAAAGATACACTCATGGACAAAACTTAAGGAAGTTGTACCTTTTAGCATGTATATCGGGATTCAGACAATAACTCTGAAAGATATTACAGTGACCTTTATTGAAGAAACGAGATAACCAAGCGTTAACAGCCTCTGTCTTTTTTTTTTTAAATAAACAGACGACCGGCGACATCAAAGACTTTCCATTTCTTTAAGTTTTGTCCGTGAGTGTAAATAGATTATAAAAGATATTATGTTGGGGCAAAAAAAAGGAAAGAAGAGAGGAAGACCTCCAATGAGCTGGTTAGAAGAGATCAAGAAAACTACCAGAAGGTCACTAGATGAGAGTGATGGTCACTAACAGATCAAACTGGAGAATATTTGTCACCATATGTCACTAAAAGTTGACTTGAGGGACACTAACAATGACAAGTAGTAGTGACGGTGAAGATAGGAATTCAATAATTGATTATTATCATAATAAATTTCCGTCCCCCGGATTATGCAAATCAAACTGTTATCGACCTAGTGTTGCATATTCTGAAATCGAAACTGTGACAGTAAGTCAAACCTACCGAATTTAAATATCGAGAAAGCTTTATTCTAAATACGTGTCTGATATTGTGCAGACGTATTCGCAACAATAACACACTTATATCGTTTTATTTAACGATTTTATATAGCGATTATATTGCAAATATATATAGAAAGATTGCTAAATTTTTGAAACTATTTTCATCACAAATATTTACATAATATTAAAAATATATGCATATTTTCTTTTTTAACCCTTCTCCCTTTCAAATATTCAGTTTTTTTGTTGTTGTTGTTGTTGTTTTTTTGTGCGTATATTCTTCCACGAAATGTTTCTTTCAAATATTGATGCAAATCTTCTTTATATTCGAACATTCTTTGTTGCATAACTGCCCCCCAGGTATTCATACATATTTACATCCTAATAAATATATTGTTCCTAGATATTTAAAATGGCGGGAATTTTTTTTAAGCAGACGATAAAAAAAGTCTTACTTACTAAATGTTATAAATATGTATCGAAAAGTTTGAAAATAAATGGTATAGGCAGAAGAAAAATCTTCAAAATTACGAAAAATGGCATCAGTTAAAAATATATATTTTTTTAAGCAGACGAAAAGCATTTAAAATGGCGTCTAGTAGAAGGGGATCAGAAGATGGGGTTCGTGACCCGTTAAATTGTTCCCAAATAACTTGAGGGCCATAATTATTATCCATCCATGTCAAATGGAGTTTGACATTTTCAAATTACCATGATAAATATGATGTGTCCATCTCACCGTAAATATCCAGTAACTCCTACAATTAATTTATTCAACACACGTGTTGACTGGCTTTAATATTCTTGGCCTAAGATATTGACAATATGGCTGAAATAAATTTGTATATTACATCTCTTTTAGTTGTCAGAATATTATAGCATTGATATACACTCATGGACAAATCTGAAGGAAGTTGTACCTTTTAGCATGTATATCGGGATTCAGACAATAACTCTGAAAGATACACTCATGGACAAAACTAAAGGAAGTTGTACCTTTTAGCATGTATATCGGGATTCAGACAATAACTCTGAAAGAAACACTCATGGACAAAACTAAAGGAAGTTGTACCTTTTAGCATGTATATCGGGATTGAAACAATAACTCTGAAAGATACACTCATTGACAAAACTTAAAGAAGTTGTACCTTTTAGCATGTATATCGGAATTGAGACAATAACTCTGAAAGATATACTCATGGACAAAACTAAAGGAAGTTGTACCTTTTAGCATGTATATCGGGATTAGACAATAACTCTGAAAGATACACTCATGGACATAACTAAAGGAAGTTGTACCTTTTAGCATGTATATCGGGGTTCATACAATAACTCTGAAAGATACACTCATGGACAAAACTAAAGGAAGTTGTACCTTTTAGCATGTATATCGGGATTGAGACAATAACTCTGAAAGATACACTCATGGACAAAACTTAAGGAAGTTATACCTTTTAGCATGTATATCGGGATTGAGATAATAACTCTGAAAGATATTACAGTGACCTTTATTGAAGACACACGAGATAACCAAGTGTGAACAAAATTATCTCCGTCTCCTTCAAAAAACATACGCCCAGCGACATCAAAGATTTTCCACTTCCTTATGTTTTGTCCATGAGTGTAGTCGCTATATCGGTGTAAGCCATCCAGAAATGGACGAACTTGTCTCTCAAGAAACTAAAGAAGAATTACCACCACCCAATTCAAAAAGACATTCTAATTACTGCCCTATATGTTGGAGACTATGGATTGGCAGAACATTGATTTAAAATCGCCCTCGAAGGCATTTCCTGATCATGAAATTGAAAGTTGCTGATGGCTTGCGTCATCTATCAGAATAAACAATAACTAATCGTTGATTATTTTTTAAATTGTACAATATATTGGATAAATATCCTTGATTGAAAGATTTGAAACATTGTTTCAGTCTCTCTCCATATTTTACCGTCAGTAAAGAGAAAGTATCAATCAAAAGGAACAAGTATTTTTATGAGGCCGCTCCTCTTCCAGGATGGTGGCTTCTAACAATACACCATCTACAGGACCAAAGAGACCTCACCAGACCACCTCTTGGAATGTATGGAAGCCTCAAGACAGGACCTATATTCCAACCCTACCAAGATTGTGAATTTAATCCATGAATTCAGACTACATGACCTTGATTATTTAATGGATGGAAATGGGAATTATACAATGGAATGATTAAAAAGATTTTAAACAATTATAAAGTAGAATCCTAAATTTTTCACAGAGATTGAAAAAAAAAGCTCCCCGGCGGGGAATCAAACCCCGGTCGCCCGCGTGACAGGCGGGAATACTAACCACTATACTACCGAGGACTATTAAGTTGGTAAAACTACCACTTTAAAGACAACTATTCATTTCGTAGATTCCACTAAAATATTTGTAGTGATATTTATTTTTTACCAACACAGAAAAATGATTGTAAATAAGTGCGACTGATCCACTTCGCAAAGAAACTTCCTCTTCTGGAAAGCCGGGAATTTCTCTTGGATCTTCAACTAAGAAGTTCAAATTTTAAAATATCGCACACCATACATACAAAGGTGAAATTGTACCTTGGGTTCGAAGGATAAATGAAGAAAACGGCAAACTTTCAGTCACACGTCAGGAGATGACTTTTTCTAAAGAAGCTAGAGTAATTTATATATTTTATATGAAAAAATAAGAAAAAAAAATTAAATGGTCAGGTGTTGATATTAAAAATAAAAAAGCATATTCTGACGCCTCACATGAGCTTTTTTGAATGCAGGGTGCCATCTAGTGGAACAATAATCAACTAAATATTTATTTAACTTGTTCCTTGATATTTGTCCAACCCAATTTCTTGATAAATCAAGAAAAGCCAACCACGTACGCGCTTCGGGCTGTTGACCTTCGTCAGCGTGGTGCAGACTGGACCTCTACGGCTAAAATGTTGGTCCCAGAGGTTTCCTAAGAAATCAATAAATAGGTATTTACGGCTAAAATTTGCGTTAAATACGCTGATCATGTGAAAAATAAGAAAAAATAATAAAGATACAATATTTTTTGTTTTGAAAATAGAGCAATCCATATTTAATTCATAAGATAATAAAAAGGCATGTATTGGATTTAATAAAAGATTTATTTTGCCAATATTTCGGCTGGCCGAACGCCAACCTTTATCGAGGCATTACATTTTTATATACAAAAAGGTATACAAAAATGTAATGCCTCGATAAAGGTTGGCGTTCGGCCAGCCGAAATATTGCAAAATAAATATTTTATTAAGTCCAATATATGCCTTTTTATTATCTAATAGATACAGTATAATGTGCTTATGATTGTAGAACGAAAATTGACAATTATACCGCAAATGTTTCTCTAAACGAAAAATCGAAATTTATTTTAAGGAGAAATACCTATTATTTCCAACCTTAGGGATGAAGTATGAAAGGATGAATTGTGAAGAGTAATGATTTTTCCGTTCTTCATTACTCTTCACAATTCATCCTTTCATACTTCATCCCTAAGGTTGGAAATAATAGGTATTTCTCCTTAAAATAAATTTCGATTTTTCGTTCAAAAGATACATTTGCGGTATAATTGTCAATTTTTGTTTTATAGATGCAATAATATACAAAAATATATCGTTTATTTCAATCCCAACGTTTCATGACGTTGATGTATTTTTTTCCAAATCAACCAACAAATGATCAGAAATGTATATACACGTATGAATCCTGTATGGGACTTTGATTCCAGTAAAAGGCTTGTTACTGCTGTTGTATATAGTCACAGTGTAGAAAATACTATACTATACCTACTACATATAGGTTTCTCTCTGTATTCTTAGTTCTCTTCTCTTACTCTGTAAACTGGCGAATCCTATATAGGACGAGAGGTCCTCAATAAAGGCTTTTGTTGTTATTGTATATACACGTATGTGTGAAAAAAATAATTTTAAAATAGAAATAAAGGTCAGGTGTTGATATTAAAAACAAAATTGACATGTTCATACCGCTCATATGAGCATTTTAGATGGCGATATGTGTGAAAAAAGAAGAAAAATAGAAGAATTGTCAGGTGTTGATATTAAAAACAAAATTGACATGTTCATACCGCTCATATGAGCATTTTAGATGGCGATATGTGTGAAAAAAGAAGAAAAATAGAAGAATTGTCAGGTGTTGATATTAAAAACAAAATTGACATGTTCATACCGCTCATATGAGCATTTTAGATGGCGATATGTGTGAAAAAAGAAGAAAAATAGAAGAATTGTCAGGTGTTGATATTAAAAACAAAATTGACATGTTCATACCGCTCATATGAGCATTTTAGATGGCGATATGTGTGAAAAAAGAAGAAAAAATAGAATAATTGTCAGGTGTTGATATTAAAAACAAAATTGCCGTTTAAAATACTCATGTGCGTGCTCAGGATATGTAAATTTTGTTTGTTTGTTTTTCATTGCTAACCTTGAGATGCATTTATCACGAAAAAGTCGACATATAGGTATTTACTCAGCAAGGAAGAAACATATAAGGAAAGACAAAGTGTCCCTAGGAAAGTAAATTAACGGTGTTCATCTAAGGTAAGAAGGCGGTCCAATCTCCTCCAAGATGGATGACGTCATACTGGGATTTTGCTCTCCCTTTCTGATAGAGTTGGCGGTGGCCATTTAAATTGACGCTCCTAATTTATTTTTCCCGGGGGGAATTTCACGGCGTGTGTGGGGTTTGTCACAACACGGGCTTTATTTTTTTATATATTTAAATATGTATATATATAATCAATATTCTCGATTTAAGACAAAATGTATTCATAGATCCGATTAGGTCTTAAAATTGATCATTTGTATCATCTTTATTTAAGTTCCTGGAAAACTTTTTTAATTATCAAGTTTTAAAATATTGTTTAATACACAAACGTGAATCGATTTTAAGATAAATTTCTATCTTAAATCCGCGATTAGGTCTTAAAACCGATCCTTTGTATCGTCTTTATTTAAATTCCTGGAAAACTTTTTACAAGTTTAAAAGATTGTTTAATACACAAACATGAAATAAACAAAGAGAGTATCAGTATTAATTACAGTAGAACCTCTCTCTCACCTAGTTAGTTACAGAGCTAAAGTACACATGTAGAGAAACTACAATTATTTTCTCACAATGAGTTTCTTTTCATTTTAAAATGCAAACTTTCAAGTGATAATCGCTCTTCAACGGGCTAAATTAAACCAATTGTCTATATCTTGACTTTGTCTCGAAAGATATGTTGATAGTTGGGTTGGAACATAAGGAAATCGCTCCTCTAGCGGGAGTTTCCTCTTATGGAGTATGTTCTACTGTAGAGAGGTGTCCTCTTATGGAGTATGTTCTACTGTAGAGAGGTGTCCTCTTATGGAGTATGTTCTACTGTAGAGAGGTGTCCTCACATGGAGTATGTTCTACTGTAGAGAGGTGTCCTCACATGGAGTATGTTCTACTGTAGAGAGGTGTCCTCTCATGGAGTATGTTCTACTGTAGAGAGGTGTCCTCTCATGGAGTATGTTCTACTGTAGAGAGGTGTCCTCACATGGAGTATGTTCTACTGTAGAGAGGTGTCCTCTCATGGAGTATGTTCTACTGTAGAGAGATGTCCTCTCATGGAGTATGTTCTACTGTAGAGAGGTGTCCTCTCATGGAGTATGTTCTACTGTAGAGAGGTGTCCTCTCATGGAGTATGTTCTACTGTAGAGAGGTGTCCTCTCATGGAGTATGTTCTACTGTAGAGAGATGTCCTCTCATGGAGTATGTTCTACTGTAGGGAGGTGTCCTCTCATGGAGTATGTTCTACTGTAGGGAGGTGTCCTCTCATGGAGTATGTTCTACTGTAGAGAGGTGTCCTCTCATGGAGTATGTTCTACTGTAGAGAGGTGTCCTCTCATGGAGTATGTTCTACTGTAGGGAGGTGTCCTCTCATGGAGTATGTTCTACTGTAGAGAGGTGTCCTCTCATGGAGTATGTTCTACTGTAGAGAGGTGTCCTCTCATGGAGTATGTTCTACTGTAGAGAGGTGTCCTCTCATGGAGTATGTTCTACGGTAGAGAGGTGTCCTTTCATGGAATATGTTCTACTGTAGAGAGGTGTCCTCTCATGGAACATGTTCTACTGTAGAGAGATGTCCTCTCATGGAGTATGTTCTACTGTAGAGAGGTGTCCTCTAGTGGGAGTGTCCTCTCATGGAGTATGTTCTACTTTACTTGCAGTACCCCGCCCTGATGACAAGAAGTGGACACATAGAGTGGACACAGGCCGGCAGACAGTCGGAGGACGGCCAGGTAGCTCCACTCCCCTCTAATTGGATTAATGAATCAACCAGCGCGTAAATTGGAAAACTTTAATTGCTCTTGGGATTTACGCCGAGGAATCTGTTAGAATAATGTACATATAATTACATAACTGACGGCGCACTTGCCGGATATGCAAATTGATGTCTCCAATTTGTATATTGTCTCTCCTTTGATGTAGTACATATGTAATTGAGCGGAATATATGGAAGCTGATCTAGAGTGGGTTGGCAGACAGGGTATCCGCGTGAATCTCCCCGCAAATGTCGACCTATCATTTTCTACCAGTGTACTACGCGAAATAAATACCGGGGGGAGCTGCAATACATCTATTCACTATTTAATATACGAAATGGTAAAACTTCCGGGCTCTCTGGCATCCGTTTTCAAGCCGAAACGTCGGCTCTTCTGTTTTTATCAAAAGAATATTTTTGCTTGTATTCGTATAAATAAAAAAAATCATTATATATTACACTCATGGACAAAACTTAAGGAAGTTGTACCTTTTAGCATGTATATCGGGATTGAGACAATAACTATGAAAGATACACTCATGGACAAAACTTAAGGAAGTTGTACCTTTTAGCATGTATATCGGGATTGAGACAATAACTCTGAAAGATAACACTCATGGACAAAACTTAAGGAAGTTGTACCTTCTAGTATGTATATCGGGATTGAGACAATAACTCTGAAAGATACACTCATGGACAAAACTTAAGGAAGTTGTACCTTTTAGCATGTATATCGGGATTGAGACAATAACTCTGAAAGATACACTCATGGACAAAACTTAAGGAAGTTGTACTTTTTAGCATGTATATCGGGATTGAGACAATAACTCTGAAAGATACACTCATGGACAAAAGTTAAGGAAGTTGTACCTTTCAGCATGTATATCGGGATTGAGACAATAACTCTGAAAGATATTACAGTGACCTTGTTTTGTGTAAATACATCAAGTTCTGTAGATGTTTGAAGAAGAGAAGGTTTCGAAAGCTAAGAAATAAATGTTGTATCAGTGAGCTCTGTAGTAGATCAATGTAAGAGGGAGGTTGGAGCCTCAATGGTAGATAATTAATTCCTCTTGTAGTTCGTTCTTGAATTAGAGAATGTTTCGAAAGCTTTGAAATAATAGATAAAGTTTTATGAGCATTCAGCTGTGGTAGATCGATACATCAATGTAAAGAAACATGTAGAATCCACGATGGTAAATGCGTAAGGTTCTCTTGTATACAGTTTTATTTCTTGAAAAAGAGATGGTTTAGAAAGCTTTAAAATAGAATATGAAGTTGTATGAGCAATCAGCTGTCATCGATACATCAATGTAAAGGAACATGTAGAATCCGCGATGACAGGTACACCGAGTTCTCTTATATACAGTTTTATTTCTTGAAGAAGAGGTGGTTTCGAAAGCTAGGAAATCAAGTTGTGCTAGATGGATATAAGAGACCGTGTTCTGGAATTCCTTCTTGGACGGAGCAGTTGTAACTAGAGACAGGTGGATCAATGCAGGGAATATGAGCCGAGTGGAATTTCACCGCTTCCATTACCCTGATTGGCTTCCTGCCTGCCTTTTTGTTTGATTGATTGATTAGTTGGTTCTGTGTGTGGCCTCACATCTCATGCACTCTGCCTCCACCGGGGTAATAAATGTCTATATCCCCTCTGTGTATACACTTCTGTGTGCCAATCTCACTTTGTAGGATATCCATCTAAAATATTATATTTTGTTCCCCTTGTGATATCTGTGGCAAATATTTTTTCAATAATATTTTGTTTAACGCGTAATATGATTTCTATATTTTAAGCATATACATTATGATCTGTGTTGCAACTGTGTGACACATTTCTACAATTACATAAGCCTGTTTGCCAAGTGGAAATTATGTAGCTATTGTTGCGTCGTTCGTATCTTTGTCTGATCAGGATGGCACAAAGATGGCCGTGTGATAGCACTTTATTAAACGTATTACTAAACAGAAGGAGTACAATAAGTGGGGCTTGCCTTCCACTTCCGTGTCAGAATGATAATTGGCTCCGTGGATGTCACTCTTGTGTCCCACTCCACACTACAGGTTGGGCTGACCAGAGGACCCGCTCATCGCCTGGGAAAGAAGGCTCACCCGCCGGGGCACATCCCCCACATGATCATCTATATTTTAGTTTATTTATTTCCATTTTTAATGTAAATTATTGACAAGAAGTCAATAAAATTTGTTTCAATTGTCATTGTCCGCTCCACACTATACACGTCCAGCCTGGACTACACCGCCTTGTAGGCCGCTCCAATGCAGGGTTCTCTTGGCACCGATTTGCAGGATCACCCACACGCCTGGAGACAACTTGCCTTCTCACGATGCCTATGTTACACACTCCCCATACAGGAATCCATCTGGGTGCAGTATACCGCCTTGAGGCCAACCGCTCTTGCGGCTTCTTCCCACATAACTTCCAGCCTGTCCACCCCCTGGAATCTGTCAATCGTCACTTCCTTGCATACATCCTTCTTTACTGGTTTTCTCATATCTTCTTCAACGCTTCACCGCCGTTCTTCTAGAACTCTGGTTTGCTGTACTTCCTTTATATATAATAGGTCAATGTAATCGCTGAAATGTGTAAAACAAAGCACAATTTGTCAAATGGGGGGAAATCATTTTAAACAAAAATTATTAAGAAATATCTTCCACAGCTATCACAAGAAATATTAAATAAAATTATAGATCAATCTATTGTGAAAGATAATGGACAGGCAATATTTATAGTTATAACAGTAAATACAGGGTGATCCAAAAGTCCCGCACTATTTTAAAAATTAATAACTCCGCGAATATTTGCGCTAGAGCAATGCGGTAAACACCATTGTGTTCAGGATGCAATGGGATTTTTTATGGCAAATAATGAAAAATTCGAAATTGATTTTAGTTACAATTTTATTCGCCAGATGGCGCACTACCAGAATCAGAGATTCAGCGGCCAAGTTGTTTGATAAATTGAAAAATATAACTGATCGACACATATTTTTCCTTTTTGAATACCAGGAAAGAACCCTAATAACATCAAATAACAAATTAATAAAACACCACTTCGCCAAAAGTATGAAGAATTGGTTAACAATTTTTAAATACAATCAGAGATATGTAAAATAGGTAAATGCAAATTAAAACATGTAGCAAAAAAAATTGATATTTTTGATATGGTTTGTGTTTCCGAAGATAATAAATGTCTAATATTTTTTTAATTCAACTCTTTCTCAGTATCGATTATATTTATTTTAATTCATTTGAAAAATATGTTTCTATCTCTGATAATTTATTTTACTCTGGAATGCCGTTGTTGTTGTCGTGTCCAATAAAGAGCCTCAGATGTATCCATGCATCTCCATCACAGCAGCAGCAATGTCCACTATCTTGGGTGTGTAAAGCTGCTGCTCTGGGTCTATGTCAAATTCCTGCAAGGCTGCGGCCATTGCTGGCTATGAGAATATGTGGGTAGGTGTAAGTTCCACACCAGGACAATTGTTGCGTGCCCTATAGGTTATTGTGCCATCTGGATGTATTGTCATTCCTTTATAGTGTTTTGTTCTAAGTCTTGTTGTAGTTTTTGTCCTTTTTCTCTCAGAGTTTATTTCGCATTTTGATCTTTTCTTATTTATTGTTTAATTATCTTGTATTTTGACAAAGAATCAGCGTCAAATAATGACATTTGTTCTTTCCTTTGGCTCAACTTTCTGGCTTCCTTTGCCAATTCAGATGTCATTTCATTACCCCCGATCCCAGCATGGGCAGGGATCCATTGTAGAATGCAGTTATTCTCCAATGGTTCCATTTGGGTAAGTAACGAGTGTATTTTCCGTGTGATATTAGTATTGCCCTTCTGAATTGCTTCTAGAGCGGATATGGAGTCGCTGTATATTAAATTTCCTTCTGCTTTATGCAGGGATGGTTGGTTAAGGCATACATCAAGGGCTTTCCAGATAGCCGTCAGTTCACAAGTGAAGTTTGATGAAATCTGTCCTGCTCCTTCTTTGATTTTGATGTGCGTTCCATCTTGCAGTATTATGTAATTCCGGCCCCTCCATAACTCAGGGTAAGGTCTGAAGATCCATCTGTATATGTTGTTAAAGGGGGTGGCCTAGCATTTTTAATCAAGAATTTGTACTATGAGGACATAGCCGTTAATATTTCAAACACATTAGACCTCGAAGCCCAAGATATCAAAGTCTACCTCAATCAAAACAAATCCATCAACATATACAATATGTATCACCCTCCAAACAATAAACTTATTGACTATGGAACAATGGCTCAATTTCTTACAGACAACTCTTATTGTAGGTGACCTTAATGCCAAACATCAACTATGGGGATGTTCCACGCCAAACCCAAGAGGCAAAATACTTTCAAACATATTTGACGACAATGCCATCATGTGCTTAAATGATGGGAATCCTACTCATCATTCATACAGCTATAATACTGCACAAGCCCTTGGAATAAGTTTTTACTATCCTGACATTTTCCACAAATGCAAATAGCAAATATTAAAAAGTATTGTAAGTGATCATTTGCCTAATTTGATAGAAATTAGCACCAAGACCAAAACCAGCTCAATTAAGAAACATTCTGGAACTTCAAAAAGGCTAATTGGATATCTTTCGAAAACACCATTATTAAAGCAGCCACAGTTTCAATACCAAGAGGTAATATTAAGAAATGGATTCCAAATTATACACACCAGGCAAAATATATTCAAACACTTATAACTAAAAGAAATGAACTACAAAAAAGAGCACCCAAAACCAAACAAATTGTGGAACTGAACTGAACATTGTGAATGCAAAAATAAAAAGATTATACGTAAATGTGAAAAGGGAAAAATGGAAACAAATTTGTGAAAACCTGAACCCAAGAAACCCAAATACAAAACTTTGGAATTTGGCAAAACAAATTGACAGATCCCAGTCACAAACCGAAAAAACTAATATGATTAAGAATACAGATGGTACGCCAGCAACTAATGACAAAATTGCTGCCAATCTTTTAGGTAATTCATATCAAATAAGTAGTAAAATCAAGGTTGAAACAAAGGCCCGAAGGATTATTCATGACTGTAAAAATGTCACCAGCACTCATAATTTTTTCCATGAAAAAATCAATATGAAAGAGCTAGCTTATGCATTAGAAAACACTGACCTAAACAAGACTCCTGGGCCAGATGGAATCCATGGCCGAATGATATCAAACTTGGGCAAAATTGGCAAAGAAAGACTTCTTAATATTTTCAATAACTCCAGGAAAACTGGAAAATTGCCTCAAGACTGTAAAATGCAACAATAATTCCCATTTAAAAACTTGACAAATCTGCTGATGACCCAAAAAACTACCGACCTATCTCCCTCACAAGTAATTGCTGAAAATTAATGGAAAAAATTATACTCAGACGACTCACCTACCACCCCGACACAAGGAATCTCTTACCAG